AGCAATTTCCTCCTCTCAGCCTCCTGAGTAGCTGGGACTACAGGCGTGTGCCACCACGTCCGGGCTAATTTTTGTATTTTTAGTAGAGATGGGGTTTCACCATGTTAGCCAGGATGGTCTCGAGCCTGGCTAATCTCTTTTTGTATTTTTAGTAGAGACGGGGTTTCACTGTGTTAGCCAGGATGGTCTCGATCTCCTGACCTCGTGATCCGCCTGCCTCAGCCTCCCAAAGTGCTGGGATTACAGGCATGAGCCACCATGCCCGGCCTCAAATACATCTTTTAAATGTGGTATCATAAAGCAATGTGAAAGGAATCTTCAATTAATGGTAGTAGAATAAATGGCTGGTAATTTGAGGAAAAATTCGGTTTTGACTCATACCTCACATACCACACAGATGCATGCACACACATACACTCTCTCTTTTCTCTCTCTCTGGTGAAATATTAAAAGAGTTAAATATTTTTATTATTTTGTTTATTTTTATTTATTCATTTATTTTGAGATGGAGTCTTGCTCTGTCACCCAGGCTGGAGCGCAGTGGCACAATCTCGGCTCACTGCAACTTCCGCCTCCCAGATTCAAGTGATTCTCCTGCCTCAGCCACCCAAGTAGCTGGAATTATAGGTACCTGCCACCATGCCCAGCTAATTTTGTATTTTTGGTAGAGATGGAGTTTCACCATGTTGGCCAGGCTGGTCTTGAACTCCTGGCCTCAAGTGACCTGCCCACTTTGGCCTCCCAAAGTGCTGGAATTATACTCGCGAGTCACTGCACCCAGCCAGAGTTAAATATTTTAAAAATAAAACCAACCACTTAAAAATTAGAATAAGACAAATATGAAAGATCTGGAGTAAGATTTTTTCTGAATTTAGGACAGAAGAAATAATAAAGAAAATGATTAATAGATTTGACTACATGAAAACAAGTTTATGTTAAAAAAAAAATGGAAAGACAAATGGAGAGGCTGGGCACAGTGGCTTGTGCCTATAATCTTAGCAATTTGGGAGGCCAAAGTCGGGGGATCGCTTGAGCCCAGGAGTTGGAGACCTGCCTGGACAACATGGTGAAACCTCCTCTCTAATAAAAATACAAAAATTTAGCTGGGCATGATGATGTGCACCTAGAGTCCCAGCTACTCGGGAGGCTGAGGTAGGAGGATGTCTTGAGCTGGGGAGACTGAGGTTGCAGTGAACTGTGATTGTGGCACTGCACTACATCCTGGGCAACAGAGTGAGTCCCTACCTCAAAACAAAATAAAACAAAACAAAACAAAAGGTGCAGGGGGGGATGAATGGGGAAATATTTGCATAAAATTATAGACAAAAAGAAGATTAAAATTCTTATTTAAGAGAAGCTCATGTAAGTAGATAGGACTAATGTTAGGATTCCAACAGACACATAAAGGGAAAGAACAAAATTCACAAAAAATATAATTAGTAACAAAACATTTGAAAGACTAAGCTCAATAAATAGCAAGAAAATGCAAATTAACAGCATAATACCACTTTTCATGTATATGTGTATATTCGCACATACATCATATGCTTTTGCCTAATACTACACAGTATAGCAGAACTGGTACTCTTAAAATACATGAGTGTCATTATAAATTGGCACAACTCTTTGGAAAGCAATCTGCTAATATGTATCCAAATATTTAAATTTTATTTTAGTAATTCTGTTTCCAAGAACCTATCAAAAGGAATCAATTCAAAATATGGAAAAATCTTTATGTAAAAATATATATCTTATAGCATTTTTCATGATAATGAAAAATTGGAAACCACTTGAATGTCCATCAATAGAGAAATGATTAGAGAAGTTTTTATTCATCAGATATGGGAATTATATGTGGTCATAAAGGTAAGTCTAAGACGAGTTAGCATTATGGAAAAATATGTAGTATAATGTTAACTGAGAAGAGGAGGAAATAACAATGGACAAAAACTATGATTATGGCTATGTACAACACACATATTAACAATATTTAAATTCAGAAAAATAATGATATGAATGCATTAGATTGGTAATGTTTAAATTCAATTTTGTTCTTTCTGCTTTTGCTAGAATTCTCTGTGATTTTATGTTATTTTGGTCACTGTAAAATAAAATCAATTTTTACTTTAGTCAAGAGGGGATAGGAGGCCAAGGCAGACCTATGGAGCAGACAGTTTGGGCAGTGGGGGGCCTCTGAAAGTTTCTTTGTCATATAGCAAGTATGCACACAGAATGAGGTCAAATTGGAAACCCAGGGGTAACCTTGACAGCCTTAACAGAAAAAGAAAAGGATTAAAATCCAACTACAAACACCATGTAAATCATTAACCCACAATTTGAACCATGGAGCAGTAGAGCTGAGAGGGGCTTCAGAGGTCATCAAGCTCACCTCCGCCTACCTCCCCTACCAAGTACACAAACATAATTTTACAGAAACAGTAAAGTGAGGTCAGAGAGGCTAAGAGACATGCTCAGAGTCACACAGCAAGTGAATGGCAGGACTGAACTTGAATTCTGATCAATGCTTTCTGTCTTCTGCCAGATCTTGACAAAAAAGAACACATTTAGGAAGTGTCTTAGTGGAAAGAAAATATAACATTTTTAATTAAAATGTATTTGTTAAAATATAAATAATAAACCAGAAAACATTTCCCACATACCCACATATATCACCTTTTAAATTTTAATTGTAGCAGTATCTTTACAAATGAGAAACTTTGACCCCATCCCCCAAAAAATCACATAAAACTATTGGCAAGGCTTATGACTGAGCTCTGTCTCTAGCCAAATAATGGGGGAATAGAGCCAAACAGAAAAACAAAGCTAAACAGTAACATCTGGAAAAAAAAATTCTCCCTGCCAAGGACCCAACTATCCCCTTCAAAAAGAACTTACATCTTTCTGGAGCTGTGCACTGTAGCAGGCCTCAGGCGTGGCTGGGGTGAGCCACAGGCCCAGGGCCAGCTGCAGAACATGTCGCTCCAGGGAGGCGAGGCCACTGGCTGATGTGGGTCTGCAGGCATGGCAGGCCTCTTGGAAGAGATGCTCTAGGGCTTTGGGGATAAGCGCTACCAGGCTGAGGGAAGGGTGGAACTCCAGCAGATAAACATTTTTTGAAGCCGGGCTTGAAGAAAAGAACAACAAATGACAATTTTACACAACAAACTTAAAATTCAAAAGATATTTCAATTTTATATTTTTAAGGACCAATAAAACAACTCCTGTATGTCCAGTGCATTATGAAAAACTGAGAGCTCAGAGGGACCTCAGAGTCTGAGCAACTGCTGGGTTGCATGACATGTTCTTTGCTTTAATGTGAACCTTTAAAAACGGAAAGACACAGATGTGTATTCTAGAAGCTCAATAAGAATAAGACTATACAGGCTGCGCACAGTGGCTCACGCCTGTAATCCCAACACTTTAGGAAGCCCAGGCAGGTGGATCACGAGGTCAGGAGATCAAGACCATCATGGCTAACACAGTGAAACCCCGTCTCTACTAAAATTACAAAAGAAATTAGCCAGGCATGATGGCAGTCACCTGTACTGTAGTCCCAGCTACTCGGGAGGCTGAGGCAGGAGAATGGCGTGAACCCGGGAGGCGGAGCTTGCAGTGAGCTGAGATCGTGCCACTGCACTCCAGCCTGGGCGACAGAGCAAGACTCCGTCTCAAAAAAAAAAAAAAAAAGGACTAAACAGCAAAACTGTCAAATTTCAGTAATCAATATTTACTCAAATATATAACAAAATAGTTCAAAAGTGACTACATAAAAAACAAATAATTTCCATGGTTATTAGTTTCTATATTTCATCTGAATCTTTATCCCTTCTTTCCCAAAATGTTAACAGACAAAGACAATTTTTAAATTCTGTACATAACTGCTGGAATCATTCAAATTGACTGTAATCATTCATAAATGAATGAGGCCAGAAGCAAAAAAAAAAAAAGTTCATCTGTGGGTTATTTCTTTAGATATAAAGGGTTCAGCACAAGTCGAGAGTCCTTCTATACCTACACAAAACTGAAGAACATTGTAACTCCCTTTACACTGATGCAAATGGTATCTTTCTTAGTCCTGAATCTACAAAATAAAAACAGCCTAAAGTCTGGAAAGGAATCTCACCAAGCAAATAATACTTGCTTTCGAGACTATTCTGGTAGGTTTTAGTATCCATATAACCCTAGCCTACTCTGCCAGAAACCATTTCCGGAACAGTAAATGTTTGCCATAGCAAGCTGCACACACACAGCTGGTGTCTCAAGTTTATTACAGAGAAGAAATCAGTCCTGTGGAAGATCTATGGAGAAAATGCAGAGTTTTGAGCCTGGGGCTCTTTCTCAAAAAATGAGAATCTCAGATATTTGCTCCCATGATGCCCTGCCTGTCCCCAAAATAATACCATAACCCATTATGGCAATTTCTTACATAAAGTCTGCCTTTACTGCTGGACTGTATACCTCACGGGAACATAGAACCATGCCTGTGTTGTTCACATCTGTGTGCCAAACAAATATTTGTTGGATGTTGAAATTTTCTCCACTCATTTGGAGGCAATTGAGAGATTGTGATCTAGAGCCATGCAGATCAACCTGCGGCTTGTCACCTGCTTCCCAGTTTCCTCTACCCTCAAAGGTTAAAAGGGAATGAGGGAGATGGTTATGCTGCCTATCTAGGGGGTGACAAAGTGTGTACCCTCTCTGAGTGGTCACAGGAAATTTAACTCTGTTCCTTAAATTTACCTCTGTTGTGACCCTCCAAGGCAAATCTGCAGAAACCTCTTTAGTGACACTTAAATTCCTTTTTAAGAAGCTTTTAAGCACCTTCAAGCTTTATACATGTAGGCTCGTGTGATGCATCTGGTTAAATCCTGACAGCATCTCAAGAGCAACTGCTTTTTCCCCAGGCCTTTTCAAGAGAATGATGATTCTGTACCCAGCGGCATATGTTTACATTCTAGCCTCCTATTCTTCATTATTCACAAAACAAAAAGATACTCAATATACAAGGGAATCCCTCCTTTGTGGCCTTTGTACCTACTTCTTTCATCTCCCCCAAGCACTTGAGAAGTGCTTTATAGAGTAGTACTGAGATTTAACACTCTATCCTTAATTAATCTAGAAGATCACACATAAAATGTACAAAGACAACATCAACTTACCAGCTATTGTTGATGGAAATAAGTTGTTTGCAAACTATATTAAGGGGAAGTCCAAATGTATTGCTATTGTCCAGATGATCCTCTCGCCAAATCCTCTGGACATACTCCCGCTGACGTTCTATCTAAAAATGCAGCGTAAACATTAAAATTAGAAAAGTTAAACTTTCCCACAGCCATGAGTTATAAGCCTTGACATGAGAAGGATTTCGTCCCTTTGTGTCTCTTCATCATTTGACTAATTTTCACCCTGACATTGTTTTGAAGACTCTTTTGCAATGGGCTGGTTTCTCAGTCTGAGCCAGATAGCCAAGGGAAGCAAAGGCAACTGACTTCAGACAAGTTTAAGAAGCAAAAGAGAAATCTTTCTATTAAATAATTGACTACATGGAAAAAATTTCAACCAGGTGGCAACAATTCTTTGTCTCTTGCTTGCTTCAAGTCATTAGCGTTTCCCTAGAGGACATACAATATGATGGTTTCTTTCAGTGTCCTAAAAATAATCACACTTTAAAAAAATAAACAAAATTTTATACATTAATGTCAAAAAGATGTATCATTAGTTCTTCTTTCACTACAAATAAACTTTGCAATCTAATGAAAACTAAGGTCATCAATTCCTTGTGGACTATTAACTCAAATTAGGGGTGGAAATCTCTCTTTAAGACCATAGTTACACTGGGATTTCAACAACGCAAATGAGCTTACAAATAAGTCAGCTGTACATGCTGGCCTAGAAAACACAGATTTCAGATCTGCAATGGAAGGAAAACACTATTTTCATTTCTGGCCTGTGTTTTCCATCCTCTTCTCGCACGTAGTATTTTAAAACCCAACTACACTCACCTGCTGGGTGAGGATGCCCCTCACTAACTGCAGGTGAAGCCTCAGGCAGGTGCATTCCTCTCGGTAGGCCTTAACGAAATAGGGGTGGCTGAGATCAAACCTCGGGCGCCGGTGCACGATGTCCGTCATCACTTGTGCTAAGGCAAACCTCTCCTCAGGGTCCAACGTGTGCTGGTAGGCTTCAAAGTAACTGTCAAGAAGCTGCAAATAAGGTTGGTAGTCAGGGATCAGCAGAGGCAGCCTTGGGGCCCAGCAAAGAGATGGGAGGCCCCACCATACTGTGGGGATGCAGTACCAATACAGTGCCATGCAGCTAGTAAACCTACAGACAGAGTTAGACAGGGAAAGGGAAAGAACAGACTTTGGAGCCAGAAGAACTAGGCTTGAGTTTGAGTTCCTGCTTCCATCCCCTCTTCCTCTGGTATCCACAAATAAAAAGGGGGTGAGGTAATTATATAATAATTATTAGCTCCAATCAGACAACACATTAAAACATTTAATGTATTTATCTCCAACACCTTTCTCCAAGGACTCATTCTTCTTCTTCCATTTTATTCCATCACCAAAGCTAAGTAGGGGCCCGCCTGACTTCTACAGTCTCAGCCCCGCTTCTGACTCCTCCTCTTTAATAGTTTGTTCACATTTCACCTACACAAAAACGATACAGGAGTAGAATGGAAGGCTGAGGGTAAATGTGCTTCCTATATTTAAGGTGATTTATCTCAGACTGAAGTCCTCTAGATTGGGCCTTACAAACAGAATTCTCCAACACATCAAGTGTCCAAAACCCCAGTGGAGATCTGCTTTAGTGGAGTTCGCAAGTCTTTTCTAAAAACCCAGAAAAGCTTCCAGACACTAACTGCTGAAGAGCGTTCTTAGTGTGGGAATTCAGAAAGAGATGTCTCTTGATTTTGCTTTTACATTTGTCTGTGAGCTTAAGGAATTTCTGTTCTGTGTGTAAATTCTATTTGTGTGTGATTAGTCATGATGCTAATCGGAAAAAGCTCTTCAGAGATCACTGGGTTGGAATTCCCAACTGGGACCCTAGGGCAAGATAAGTAGCTCTGATGTGTACAGTGCATAATAAATCCCTTCTCCTGTTAATCTGTCTTTTGTCAGTTTCATTTTCAGAGCCCAGGCACCGAATCTAAGAAAGCAGAGGAAAAAGTTTTTCCTCCTCTACACAAAAGAATTGAACCCTTGAGGATGAATAGCACACTAGGAATCAAATACTGCTTTACTAAGAGATACTTTATTTTGGAGACCCAGTGCTAAGGCTCAAGGAGGAAGAGCCTGAAGCACTTTATTTAGCACCTGGTTTTGTAGGATGTCCTTTGGTTATAAGGGACCTTGGATCAACCTTAGTATGAAAAGGAAGACACCAAAGGAAACTAAAAGCTCAGGTCACAGAGATGCTCCACAAGTCAGAAACTCACACATCAAGAGTGCAGAGTGAGGGAAGGTGGAGACCACCCTTGCCTTTAAATGAGCCCCAGGGAAAATGATGCCAGCTGGGTGATCTCGGTTACCTTGTTCCATCCACCAACCTCTGCTCTATAATAACACTCAATTATTACGTAGCAGAAGACAACACAGAAATGAAGGAAGAATGACTGGATCGGGGTAAGAAAGGTGTCCCTCAGTAGACCCAGGTGAAGTTAGGAAAGAACCAATTACTTCCCTAACTCATTCTGGACTCACTTGAACCTTTTTAGCTGGGCCAGGGCAATCCCAGAAGCTGGTTTATCGTATTTATACTTCCTTGACCTGTTTTTGCACAGAGTCCAATTGTTTGGTTATTTAGCAGGGGGAGTTTGTGGGGAGTTGGGGGTGGGGGAAGGGTTCTAGATGGTGATTCCAACCTGATACCAGACTGCAGAGGCTCATGCTAAATTGCCATTTCATCACTGTCGATAGGGCTGTCAGATTTAGCAAGTAAAAATATAGAACATTTAGTCAAACTTGAATTTTCAATAAATAAATACTTTTTTAGTATAAGTATGTCCCAAGTATTGCACTATATTATCTGGTAAACTTAGCTGTGGGGAAGGAAACTGTGGCTCTCTTTTTAAATTGATGAAGCTTCTTTCAGCTTTGTGCTCAACCTCGAGAGGCTCTCAGATCATTGCATAATTTTATTATGAATTCTTTCCCAACAGGGATGGGGCCAAGATCTTTCTGCCTCATGGGTTCTATTTATTATCTGTTTGCTAAGTGGCCCATTTCCATTTCAACTCTGGGCTGGTATTTGTCTAAGAAGTCTTCCCAGTCTGTCAAATGTCACCTGTGTGTGTCAAGAGCCAACTCTCAGGCAAGATAATATGTGGTGCGTGCTGATGGTAAGCACAAAATATTGGAGAAAATGGGAAAATAGACAAAATAAATAATCTCAAACCTTACTGTGTTTATATTCTTTTTACTTCATTTTTTTTTTCTGGGATTTAAAAAAACTTCTAAAATAGTATTTTAGGTCAAATGAAAGTGCAAAACAGAAAATCTTTGCTAGACCCAACTTAGCACAGGACATTTTCTTTCTGGCTTTCCTAAGGAATGATCTTTTTATCCAGTACATTTGTCCTTCGGTAGCTGTAGAAAGACTTAGCAGATGGTACAGTGTCACTTAGGAGCTGCTACAGCTGATACCTGACTTTTCTAAGAATCCCTTGATCTACCTAAGTTTCTACCAGCTCTAATTTTATGAGCTTCATAAGGATTTAAAAGAACCCAATATGTTCAAGCAATTCTTAACCCTAGTGATACCAATAGATTTAACAATCAAAAACAGCTGAGGAAACTTGGCTGTAGGAAATGGTACTGGGGGAAATAAACTACTTTAGATGGAAATCTGGCTTATCCATTAAAAATAGGCTCTTTTGACAAAATTTCTGACTTGGCCATTTTACACTTTTCGCACCGATAGCTCAGTTTCTAAAGGGAATTTATTCTCAGGATAGAAAAGAGGGAGATATTTTCACCAAATGTTTTTAAGTCAAAATAGTTTCATTTACCACAGAAGGAACTAGTAGACTGTCCTGACACCTTACCACACAATGAATCCTAGGCTGAAGTGTGGAGAAATTGGTTCGTTTTTCAGTATTTTCTGCCTTCCTCCTCTTCTATTGCCATTGAGTCTTTCCGGGGGCCTCCAAAGGAGGCCCAGAGGCATTGAAAGGGAAGGTAGGGAGAGAGAGTACAGAAAGGGGTGGGGAGTGCTGTTTAAAATTCATGCCTGGGCTGGGTGGGGTCGCTCATGCCCTGTAATCCCAGCACTTTGGGAGGCCGAGGCGGGCGGATCATGAGGTCAGGAGATCGAGACCATCCTGGCTAACACGGTGAAATCCCATCTCTACTAAAAAGTAAAAAAAAAAAAAATTTAGCCAGGTGTGGTGGTGGGCTCCTGTAGTCCCAGCTACTCGGGAGGCTGAGGCAGGAGAAAGGGGCGAACCCAGGAAGCACAGCTTGCAGTGAGTTGAGATTGCACCACTGAACTCCAGCTTGGGTGACAGAGTAAGACTCCATCTCAAAAAAAAAAAAAAAAAAAAAAAAAATTCATGCCTGGACCCATAAACTTGTTGAGTTTAAGGATCCTGTCTTATTTATATTTCATACAGCCATTCCAGTTACTACACTGTGCATCTAAATCTCTCACTCCGTTGATTAAGGTTCCAATGGGCAGATTAAGACTCCAGACTAATGCTGTAGGGGCCAGTTATCATTAGAAAGAGGAACATTTTTTTCAAAGTCCAAGGCTTGCACTATTGAAGCCTGGCCAATTGTTTGCCAAAGGGTGGGTGACCTACATCTCTAGGAGTAACAGACCAACCAGAGAGCAGATGAAATGGTGAACCATCTATTCTACTAGCAAAACAATTCAAAGAAAACATTGCCATTTCCCCATCTTCTGACCATATCATAGTGCACTATAACCTGGTTTCCACCCCCACCATGCTTCTGAGAGTCCTGCAATGCTGCCAGTGACCATCTGACCAAGCTGCTTGGTTTTTAGGAGTTCCTTTCTTGACGTTTCATGGAACTCCACAAGTAACCATCCCCTCCTAATTAAAACTCATTTCTTCCTTGTTTCTCTGGTCTATTTAGTTTTACTGCTTCTTGTTTCATGACCTGCCCCTTAAATGTAGGTATATTACTCAGGGGCTGGGCGCGGTGGCTCATGCCCGTAATCCCAGCACTTTGGGAGGCCAAGGCAGATGGATCACTTGAGGTCAGGAGTTTGAGACCAGCCTGGCCAAAATGGCGAAACCCTGTCTCTACTAAAAATACAAAACATTAGCTGGGCATGGTGGTGTGCACCTGTAATCCCAGTTACTCAGGAGGCTGAGGCATGAGAATCGCCCGAACCTGGGAGGCAGAGGTTCAGTGAGCTGAGATCGTGCCACTGCACTCCAGCCTGGGTGACAGAGCGAGATTCTATCTCAAAAAGAAAAAAAAAATGTAGGTGTATTACTTAGGGCTACATTTCAGATATCTCTAGTTTCTCCCAGTTGTTTTGATTCATCACTGTGGTTCAACCTCCATATTCATACCTCAGCTCATACCTGTTCCTGAGCTTCAGACCTATTGCTGCCCACAAAACATTCACACCTGAGTTTCAGCAAACCCCCTCAAATGCCTTGTTGTCCTAGGGCCTATGTCATTTTCCCCTCTAAAGACACTCTTCCTCCTCCTGGGTTCAGTTTCAGTTAATAGCCTCCTCCCTCACCCCCAGGAAGTTGTTTTAATTCCTTCTTTACTTTCTTGCCCCAACTTCCAGATCCAGTCTTCCAATCCTGCCATTTCCACTTCTACAAAGTATTCTCAGGTCTGTTCCTCCTTCCTGGTCTCACCGCCTCTCTGCCTTTCTATTCTTCTATTGTCATTGTATGCTTCCTCCTAATTTTTCAGGTCACTGTTGCAATAACTGCACTTCTTCTCTCAGGGGCGCTCTATTCCAATCCATTCTCTCACATACGCCCAAGGTAGCTGTTAAAAGCACAGCTATGATCATATTTCTCTCTATGGAAACTCACTAATGGCTCTTCTTTGTTTATAAGATGGACTCTAAAATAATATAATTAGCAGGTCCTTTATAAGCTGCACCCAAAACACATGTGTGGCTTGTTGCCACCCATCATGCCTTTACATCCCAGCCATAACAGTCTTCCTACCATCCTCCAAGAAGGTAGGATTTTCTTTCTCAAAATAAAATCCCCCAAGCTGGTCCTTCCCATTTACATTCCCCAGACATTCTAATGCTGTTTCGTCTGCTTAAGAATCTTTTCTTCCCTGCCAGACAACATCTTACTCACGTTTTAGTATCAAGATGAAATATCGATTCCTCTGGAAAGGCTTTCTAGCATTTCTTACACCGGACAGTGCTCCCCTCCCCCAGGACAAATCTCTCTGCAGAGTCCCCATGACTCATGAATGTACTCAATTATAAACTGTTAGGAACTAGGTTATAATTTTTGCTTGGAGATTGAATCTTTTGTAGATGATAAATTCCTTAAAGATAAAGATCATTTTCACTTAGTTATCTATATGTCTCTGAATGCCTGGAACAGTCCCTGGCGGAGTAAATACTTCATATTTGATAAGTAAATGCCTAACAATTGGTGATTATTAGAAGGGCTGATAATCCATGCAAAAGGCACAAATGAAGAACAGTAAACTTGCAGTGTTTCATTCATTATTGGGATATGAACCATTCGTGACACAGTGATGATTTAGTAACCTGCTGTTTCATTGCTTTAAACTCACCCCCGTAACATTGCACTCAGCACCCTGTCCAATGCTTTCACCTACCCACATGTGGCATATGCTTCTACAGGCCATGATCAGGTCAACTTGTCTGTAATTAGCAAAGTGAGCATTGTCCCTATGACTGCACAATGAGCATGAATGAAATCATCATTCATTCTCACTAAAAGCATACATATTATAAGAAGGAATTATACAGTCCTCTAACAAATAATACCTGTAAGATAAAGAAGTGTCTTTCACATTTTGTTTTTTGTGATGAACCTCAGTAAAGAAAATAAAATTTATTACATCCTTATAACTAGCCAAGATTATTTAAATAAAATAATTATTCTCTTGATTGAGAACTTTTCTAAAAGTCTAACTGGGTTTTATTTACAAAAACAAAAACAGAAAAAAGACTGGATTTTGTAAGAATGGTTTTTTAGCAGACATTTTGTCTCCTAGGCAAGAATACCTGGCGCTTGTTTTCCAGAAGAGCTGCTTCCCAAGTCCATATGTCAGAGAGCACAGCTAATCTGTCCACACCTGCATGGGCCCATCCCCAGTCCTGGCCACTCTTTGGCTGGCTGCCCACTTTGTGACCTGGGAGAAAAGAGGGTGAGAATGTTTAGAGACAGGTCTTCCAAGGAACCTGTTCCAATTAGAAATGTGCGCCTTGGATTATCAGCTCCATCTCAGAAACAGAAATGCTGAACCAGTCCCTGGGACGAAGCCTGAGTTCATACTTGTTACTTCTAAGTCAACAGGAGCTTTTGTTTTTATTTTTTAAATTCAGTTTTAAAGACTAATCTTAGAAATAAAATAAAAAGTTTAGGTAACAAGAAATCTATGCTAAAATGTCTTCAAACCCACAATTTAAAGGCAAGGTATATATTTCGCCTTCTCTAAAAACAAATCCCTGGGGTTTAACAACAAACTCAGTTTGACTTGCTATTTCCATCATTGTGAAATGTTTCCAAGATATTCTTTAATTATGTTAATTACTAACTTAAATCAATGAAGGTAATTTTCATTATTCAGCTGATTTTTTTAACTTTGTTAATGCTACTTTTCACTACTGGCATTACTGTTGCTTTAAATTTTTAACTATTGTATTTCAGAATTAAATATTCAAAGATAAGATGCTTTCATGTGCTGAAATTTGAGTTCAATAATTATCACATATCTGATGGGTACTAAACAAGAGAAAGATGATCAAGAACTTCCATAGCAACAGTTGGGAAATCATTTCACAATAGATGACTATACATTTACCAGCTCAATTGAAAGAAAGATGCCTATGTGGTTAAAGTGTCAGTGTAGACACTACTGACTAAGTGTCTCAGTCCAATTAAATTCTTAGCAGCTAGAAATAGTTCATGCTATTATAAATTAATATGGACCAAATGGTGCATTAGTATGTAGGATAACCAGTAAAGATAAAAGCTAAGAGCTGAAATTAAATACCCTGGAATGTTGGATGCCATCACTGCATCCTATGATTCAGATACCAATGGCAAAGACAGGACAATTAATTCAATCCTACTTCAAATTAATTCTGTCTGGGATCTGAAAAGTTAGTTGTCAAACTTTCTTTGGGCAGCATTTTGTAACAATATGAATGTGAATTATCTTTAATTACAGTCTACACATATTACAAAATAGCACAAACCCTGATTAAGTTTCCCTTTAGGTATTGCAATGTGTCTAGAAATTCTAAGCTCTTTGCAGATGTAATTCCAATGCTGTCATAGTATCCCAAAAGAATATTCTTACATCATCTATTTCTAAAATTGAATCAATTTGAGTGATGCCAAAAGGAAGAGAAAATACAGGTTATGGGTTACTTGATTACCCTGAGTGACGATTTCTTCCTCTGGGGCTTGTCTGGCATTTTCCTAGCCAGATGTTCCTGCATCCTGATGGTTTCCTGTTAGGAACCCAGGGCTGTCTCTGCTGCTAAATGCAGTTTCCTCAAGGTCTACCACTTAGAAAAGTCATTTGTTTCACTTGCTTATTTTCCTTTCTTCAGGGTCCTGCACCACATCCCCTCCACCCAGTGGGTGACCCAGAAATGCTCCTGGGAGTAAAATCCCAAATCTTGGCTTAAGCCTGTTTTAGTCAGAGACCACCCAATGTAGCGTGCAGGTCATCAGAGTGGGTAGAGGGTCAGAGGTCAGGTCTTCGGCCCTGAGAAGTGAAAATGCAGGGGCCGTGCTGTCCCTTGTACCTCAGGAGAGCAAGGAAGAAACTGGGTCTTCCCTTGCAGGGCTTCCTGCTCCTTGATGCTTCTGTCTCCCCTGGGCTTTCCCAGAAGGCTGCACCCTGCTACTCAATCGGAGCACCTGCCTCCCACCCCTCCTGCCCCCTCAAGCTCACGATCTGCCTCTGAGTGTTACACTAGGATTTTTATTGCTTAAAGTGTCTTAATTCTTTGTCCCCTGACACACAAGCCCTCTAGCTATCGAAGGGGAGATCATGAGAAACCTTTCGGGGAACCAGAGCACAGAATAACTGTTAGTTGTTTTTTTAAGTCTATGTAAACATTTCAACAGATCATAAAGAAAACATTTATCTCTTCGGTCCTTGCAAGAGAAGTCAAAGGAACTTTTGTTTCGTATCAAGAGCCTGGATATCTCTGTCTGTTGTGACTGGAAAGAGCCTGTTGTACTGAAATCCTGTCATCATGGTAGATTTGATCTTCAGTGGCCAAACATGAAGAATTAAAAGCATAATTCTTGACTGAACTGGTGGGTGGGTTGAACTTTAGGAGTACATGGGTGGCCATTCCTGGCGCGCGTATCAATGTGACATGAGCCCTGGAGTGGGTCGTCCCTCTCAGCCCTGCTGCTTGCTGCCTCCTGGGGCCCAGTGACTGAGGCTCTATGCTAGAACTGTGTATCACCAAATTCGCCATTATAAAGGAAACTTCCTGCTGCAACAACAACAACAAAAAAAAAAAAAAAAAAAGAAAGAAAGAAAGAAAAGGAAAGAAATGCCCCTGCTCAACAAGCAGAGTCTGAACCACAGCAAGAATTACAACCCAGCCCTGAAACAGTAGTCACCATCTCTATCAGAAGCGGGGCTTGAGCTGGAAACAACTGTTTCTCTTCTAAAGTGAATGCATTTTAGGGGTGGGGTTAGTGTGTGCTTCTTGCAGGTTCAGATACTATTGGATATGTATTTATATTTTGGGGTGGAGAGCATAAAAAGAAGCCCTTAGTGTCTTTTGTTTATTTGGGCAGGTGATTTTTTTTTTTTAATCTGACTTCTCACCCCTTTCTTTCTCAATGTAATGGCTAGCCACAAGCAGCAACTCTGCCTCTAGTTCCTTGAGATCACTCAAGGCTTCCTCATACATGACATGCACCCCTTGCTGGTCCTGGGTGTGGATACAGCCAGCTTCCGTGCTGTAGTAGTCATCCTGGTTCTCCACTTCCGAGAACTCCATGAATTGGATGCCGTGGACCTGGAGAAAGAAAGCCAAGCCCAGATGTTACTGGAAAAGGGAGAGCTATATTTTGCCATCCCACATGGACAAGCAGCAGGTTTCTGCTCCCACACAGTGGGCTGCCAGTATGAAGCTGTAAATATTCTGAATGTATAAAAAGCTGTATGTAGAAAACATATATTAACAAAGAATGCTGGCAGGAAGAGGTAGTTCCTGAGGTGGATAACTAGCTGATTAGTTTGTTTTTCTGATAAATTCAGTAGCAACTGGAGAAAGGTAGGGAATAGAGCCCAGAGTGGTCTCTGGAGTCAGAATGCCCGGGTTCAGGTTCCGGCTCTGCCAGGATCTCATCCTGGGCAGGTCATTCAGCTATTCCCAGCCTCCGTTTCCTCATCCGTAACATGGAGACTGTGGAGACACTACAGACTACGTTAGCTGTCAGGAGTATGTGACTCTATGAGCGTAAGGCACTTGGAATCCTTAAACGTTAGGTTAAAAATATTTTTGTTTTAATTCTATAAGTACTTCTAAAATGTATTAGCACAGTTTCGTGGCTTAGTAATGAACTAAGTCGAATAGTGTCCCCCAAAATTCATGTCTACCTGAAACCTGTGAATGAGAACTTACTTGAAAATAGGGTCTTTGCAGATGTAATCAAGTTAAGATGAGGTCATACTGGATTAGGGTGGGCCCTAATTCAATGACTGGGATCCTTATGAAATTTGGAGACAGACACGTGGGGGAGAAGGTCATGTGAAGATGGAAGTAGAGACTAGGGTGACTCAAGGAATGCTGAGGATTGCCAAGGGTTGCCAGCAACTACCAGGAGCTGAAAGAGGCAAGGAGGTATTGCCTCTAGAACCTTCAGAGAAAGCACGGTCCTGCTGATACCTGGATTTTAGATTTGTGGCTCCAGACTGTGAGAGAATAAATTTCTGTCATTGTGAGCCATGCAGTTTGTGGTACTTTGTTTTGATAATCCTAGGAATCTAACACAAGTAAGAAGTGTTTCCATCATAATGTTATTTTTCTTAGAAAACTGAGTATCTGCTGCTCCCTGAGAATCATTATTTTAATAATAATTTTCACAATTTCAAACTTTTCCACTCTCCTCAAGCCTCGGAACTCCCTCCCTCACAGGCGTAGTCTCCTCTTACTCCCAACAAGAGCTTCTCCGGGCACCACTCCCCGCCGCCCCCATCAGGGCTCACACCTCTCCCCTCCTGCTTCCTCTGCACAGTGGAGGACAGTGGTGCCCCCTTCTCCAGGACCACTGCCTCCCACCTCAGCAGCATCCCTGCTCCTTCGTGGATATCCCACTCCTCTCCTCTGGACGCTCAACACTGAAATGTGCACACGTCCCTCTCACTGTGAAACTTCCTCACACCCTTCCCAGGTTCCACTGTGTGGCTCTCCTCCCCCTCACTGTCCAGTCTCCCAAGATGTTATCTACACTCTCCATTTCCATTTCTTCACCTCCCACTCTTCAACCCATTGCCATCTGGCCCTTGGCTCCACTAAGCCACCCAAACCACCCTCGCTAAGACCAACAATGACCATTGCTCTACATGCAACAAACTTTCTTTCATCATCTTATGTAATCTCTCAGGAGCATCTGATACAATTTAGTGCTTCCTGACTCTTGACTCACTCTCTTCTCTGGGCATCTGGGACTCCACGTTTTCCCTGATTTTGCCTAGTTTCCGGTCATTCTGTCTGACACTGTGAAGTGTATTTATTTTTCTCTACCAAGTCATTAAATGACGGCCACTCTCAAGCCACCTCCTGGGACTTCCTCTTTTCCTCCTCTGTTCCTTCCCTACGAGGTGGCAGACACTTTCATAGCTGAGATTACCACCTTTAGACCATTTGCTCCCCCAGTTTATACCTCCAATCCCGACCCCCTAGAGCTCCAGACCTGCACATCCAATTACCAATTTGGCAACTGCTCCTGAGCATCTCAAAGCCCACTTAATTTTAACAATGATCAAATCATTAAATCTTCCCCCCACAAACCCAGGCTATCTGCAGCTGATTTTACTAAATAGCACTACCACCCATCCACTTCCTCTAGCATGAATCATTCATGACATCTCTTTCTGCTTCACCCTACTTGTCCAATCTATCAGCAAGTTCTGTTAGTTTTACTTCCTGTCTCTCAATTTCATCCACTTCTGATATAGGAGGTGGGGCAGGGAAGTGCTGAGTAGAGAAGGGAGAGGGCTCCACCCTTGGGCCTATGCCCTCAGACCTAAGTGAGAACAGGTACTCCTGTTTTTGTGCCTGAATGTTGCATTTTCCAAGACCACTCTGGCCCGCCATCCTTTGCCCATATAAACCTGAGACCTTAGCGGGCACACACACAAGAAGCTGAATGTTGAGAGAAGCAGAGAACGGAGCAGTAGAGAGAGGCAGAGAGCGATGCAGAGCAGCAGAGAGCAGCCGGGCAGCATGACGGAGGAGGGAAGAGGCCTCTGAATGTCCAGAGGAGTTCTGCTGAAAACAGCTGAACTCCAGGGGAAGATTGCCTCCCCCACCCCTCCACCTTCTGGCTCCCCATCCATGTCACTGAGAGCCACCTCCACCACTCACTAAAACCTTGCACCCATCCTTGGAGGCCGCGTGTGATCCGATTCTCCTGGGACACTGGGCAAGAGCTCGGGATACAGAGGGCTGTCACACTGGCCCTCTGCCCTTGTGAAAAGGCAGAGGGTTCATTGAGCTGATTAGCACTCAAGCCATCTGCAGACAGCAAAGCTGAAAGGGCTTTGTAACACTGGGGTTGCAGGCACCCACTGCTAGACACTAAGTGGGGCTGAGAGCACAAAGCACTTGCCCTGGCCTCTGCACCTGCCCGTCTGCATGCTACTCCTTGGCGTTTAAGCTGCAGGACCATTGAACAGGTGAGCCACATCCCTGTTGCACATTCTAAGAGGGGAAATCAGGGAACTTTCCCGTTTCACTTCTTCCCATCTCCACTACCCACTACTCTAGTCCAAGCTATTATATGTCATGAGGACTAGTCTAGGAGCTTCTAAACTGGCCTAGGCTCTTAAATGGCCTATGCATGACTCCTCTGGCCTGGGCTTTCCCTCCTCTCCATTTTACTCACTGCTGGCTGGGGAACTTTTACAAATGCAATTCTGATTGTGTCATTCCCCTTTCCCCCTTTTATATCCCTAAGAGGCTTCCCATGGGCCACAGAATAGAGCAAAACTCCTTAACAGGGCCATACAATCTGGCCCATGCGTATCTCTCTAGTCCAGTGTTTTTCAGCTGAGAGTGATTTTGCCCCCTAGAAGACATTTGGCCATGTCTGGAGATACTTCTGGTTGTCATGACTTAGTGGGAGGTACTGCTGGCATCTGGGTAGAGGCCAGGGATGCTGCTAAATATCCTATAATGGACAGGAGAGCCTCTCACAACAAAGAATTATCAGGCCCCAAATATCAATAGTGCCAAGACTGAGAAACTCAGAGCTAAGTTCCATTGTGCATCACCTTCCACCTCGTGTCTGTGCCCCAACTACTCCTGTCTTCTGCTTTCTTATGGGTGCCATGTTCCTTCTGGCCACACGTCCTTTGCACAGGCTGTCCCCACTCTGTGGAAAGGTCTCCCTCTCCTTTTTACCTAATTAAAGACTTTTCATTTTCCAACCTCAGCTCAATCATCACTTCCTTAGAAACCCTCCTGCCCAGCCTCCCTATAGTACCAAGGAGCTCTCAGTCTCTCTTTTGAGGAAATTGATGTCCCTGTTTTACATTATTTGTGTGATTTTTGACCAATATTTGTCTCACCCACTGGATTGCAAAGTACTGTAAGGGTAAGGAACATGTCTATTTTTGTTCACCACCTATCACAGGGCCTAATACATAGTAGGTGCCTATCTGTTAAATAAAAGAATGTACGAATGGCTTTTATATTTGTGCATATAGGTTTCTTTGACTCTATGATTTGTAATCTCTACTTGTGCTTTTAACATATGCCCGTCAAAAATCCTGTGTTTTGCCTTCATAGATTCTGATCTCATGTCACCACAGCCTAATACATACATTCTATATGGGGGGATAATGCTCAGGTGGAAAGTGGTTCTTGGAGGACAAAAAAACATCCTATTATTTTTATATATAAAGCACAGATACACACATTGCACATAAGCAAATCTATGGCATATCTCTGGTGTTAGCATTTCTTCGTAGGAGGAGAGTAGGGAAAAAAGTTGAAAAAGGATATTTGTTGGGGAAGCCATAATGGAAAAGAGGTTAAAAAACACTGGCCTAGATATCTATCATCTCTCTCTCTCTCTGTCTCTACTATCTATAGATCTATCTATCTATTCTTATTATTGTAAAATACACATAACATAAAATTTACCATCTTAGTTTTTCATGTACAATTTAGTGACATTAAGTACATTTACATTGTTGTGCAACCATCACCACCCATCTCCAGAATTATTTTCATCTTGCAAAACTAAAAATCTGTACCCACCAGACAAGAATTCCCCATTTTTGCATCCTCTGAGCCCCTGGCAACCACCGTTCTACTTTCTGTCTCTATGAATTTGACTACTCTAGGTATCTCATGTAATGTCCTTTTGTGACTGGCCTATTTTACTTAGCATAATCCCATCAAGATTCATACATATTACAGCATGTGTCAGAATTTCCTTCCGGTTTCAGGCTGAATTATATTCCATAATAACTATGGAACTACCACATCTTATTTCATCTGTTGATAGACACTTGAGTTACTTCCACATTTTGGCTATTATGGATAATGCTGCTATAAATATAGGTGTACAAATATCTTTTTGAACTCCTGCTTCCAATTATTTTGAGTATATAGCCAGAAGTAAAATTTCTGGATAATACAGTAATTCTATTTTAAATGTTTGAGGAATCTGCATACTGTTTTTCATAGTAGTTACACCACTTAACATTTCTACCAACAGTGCACAAGGGTTCCAGTTTTTCCACATCCTCACCAACATTTGTTATTTTCTGGGGTCTTTTTTGTTGTTGTTGGTAGATGAGTCTTGCTCTGTCACCAGGCTGGAGTGCAGTGGCGCGATCTCGGCTACAGCAACCTCTAACTCCCTGGTTCAAGCGATTCTCCTGCCTCAGCCTTTAGAGTAGCTGGGATCACAGGCACATGCCACCATGCCCAGCTAATTTTTGTCTTTTTTGTAGAGATGGGGTTTCACCATGTTGGCCAGGCTGGTCTCGAACTCCTGACCTCAGGTGATCTGCCCGCCTCAGTCTCCCAAAGTGCTGGGATTACAGGTGTAAGCCACAGTGCCCAGCCTATTTTCTGTTTTTAAATATATATATATCGTATATTTTTGTATTTTAAGAAAAACAATCTGATTTTCTTAGTTGTTACTCATGAGTCATTTAAGCTTTGAAATCACTGGCTCCTAATCTTTCATCTTACATCTATTAACTCTTATAAAAACTTTGCTAAGTAATCAGTTGTATAGAATCCATTTAGCTATAAATTTTAAACAATCATATCCTGGCTCTCCAAAGACCTATCAATTGTTTTGTGTATGTGGCATTGCCTATAGTACAACTACAGGAACACTCCTGGAATCTTAACAAACAGGACAGATTATCGTCTGCTTACATGGTTAATTGCCAATATTAGAAAGGTGGATGGGGCTGCTCTTTGGGTCCCCCTTCACTTCTGTGACTGTATAATTAGTTTTTATGTGCTGTTTCTTAACCATTCAAGCAGAAACATAGAAACCTTCTAATAAGTAAATGTGAACATTTCTAAATAGTAGTTATAGTTCATAATATTTCATCAAAAGAATACTTAATAGTTCATCATTCCTCTAGCAGCATTTTTCATTTTGCTTTGATTTTTCTATGCTTTAAACATATAACTTTGGTTTTTTTGTTGTTGTTTGTTTGTTTTTGAGGCGGAGTCTCGCTCTGTCACCAGGCTGGAGGGCTGTGGCACAATCTCGACTCACAACAACCTCCGCCTCCTGGGTTCAAGCAATTCTCCTGCCTCAGCCTCCCGAGTAGCTGGGATTACAGGCACGCGCCACCAGCCTGCCCAGCTAATTTTTGTATTTTTAGTAGAGGCGGGGTTTCACCATGTTGGCCAGGATGGTCTCGATCTCCTGACCTCATGATCCGCCCGCCTTGGCCTTCCAAAGTGCTGGGATTACAGGCGTGAGCCACCGCGCCTGGCACAACTTTTTAATAATTAATAGCTTCCTTTGACTAGAATTCCAAAAATGAAATTATCTTCTTCTTTTTTTTTTTTTTTTATGGAGTCTCACTCTGTTACCCAGGCTGGAGTGCAGAGGTGCAACTTTGGCTCACTGCAAACTCTGCCTCCTGGATTCAAGCTATTCTGCCTTAGCCTTCTGAATAACTAGTATTACAGGCATGTGCCACCATGCCTGGCTAATTTTTTGTAGTTTTGGTAGAGACAGGGTTTCACCATGTTGGTTAGGCTGGTCATGAACTCCTGACCTCAAGTGATCCACCTGCCTCAGTCTCCCAGAGTGCTGAGATTACAGGCGTAAGCCACTGCATCCAACCTGAAATTATGATTTCTTACAAAATGATTGGTACCAGTGGAAAATAGAAAACGTGCTGAGAAAATGACATGTTCCATTAAAAAAACAGCTAGGATATATAAATTACCATGTTGGCTTCTATTAGCATTTAGCTTCTGTCTCTTGTTATGTAAAATGAGCTTGCTTTTGAGGAAAAAAGAAACAACTTAACGTGTTATACTTCATTCACTTTGTTGGAAAAGACCTTTCCCAAAGTTCTTGTACAGAAGAATTTTATAAGACTTTCAGGCAATGGCAATTGGATTAAGTTCTGAAGCTGATGAAAAGCAATAATATTGTCAAGATGCCAACTCTAATGCCATCATCTCTATTAGCGGTCATTTTTCCACTCTTCTCATCCACATCCCATTGTCCAAACCCTTTATATAGGCATACATGTTCTTTCTCTTTCTGCCATAACTCACTCTCTTCCTCCCTTAGTCCTGTGTCTCTGAAATACATACTTGTGCCACAGGAGATACACTTTAAAGACCAGATGACTAAATTGCCTCATGCAGGGTTATGGCTCAGTTACTATAATGTTTCTTTATTTCCTGTTTATTTTCATTTTTTCCACAGTCATGTGGAAGACCCTCCCTCTAATGGTTTTGTGGCCTAGAGAGTTGATGCTTCAATATTATGTTTGAAGGAGTGGCAGAAGGAAGAGGGCAATAATTATCTGTCTGTGTAAGAAATATGACCTTTGCAATGATTCATATGTTTTTAGTTTGAAAATTAACTGATGCCAAGGTAACTACTTGCTGAATATAGTAACTATAGAAAAATTGGTGGTCCATCATTCATTCCTTTCACCCTAGTGGCTTCTGCCATCACTTGTTAATGTGAATTTTAGAACTTTTGGCAATATAGACAATACTTCTCTGACTAGTTTACCTTTTTCTAAATCATCTTGCATTAATTTTGGATAATAATAGTTCAGCCTAAGAATCCCATCAAAATTTGTTGGGTGAATGACTCAATCTATTGGCTATAATCTTTTAAAAAGAAAATCAAATATATTTTCTACTCTACCTTTCTTTCTAGTCTGTAGAGTATATTATTATTATCACAGCTAATTGTTCTGCGTTTCAACATGATAACTTTGCAAAGCACTTTCATGTACATGGTCTTTTTGTAAGCATGCTACCATTCTGTTACAGGCAGAACTTTTCTTTTATCAAATAAACATTTGATACCTGCAATGTGAAAGATATATATCCAGCTCTCTACTACCTTTTGCCACCTGAACATCTTGTTAAGCATCTCAAACTTTCCATGTACTGTACTGAGATCCGGATCTTCCCAACAAATCTGCTTCAACCAAATCTCAGTTGATGGCAACTCTAAACTTCCAAATGGAAAGGCCAAAGCTTTGGAGTCAAATTTGACTTCTCTATCTGGAAATCATGCTAGCTGCACCTTTAAAATACATCCAGATTTGTTCTGGAAGTCTGTGGAAGCTTTGGTGCTAAATCATTGAACGTTCTATATACGTTACTTATTTATTTAATGTCTGTATTTCTTCATGAAATAAGTCCCATGATGGCAGGATTTGTGCCCATTTTGTTCACTGCTAAATCCCCAGTGCCTGGAACAGTGCCTAGTATATTTATTGGTCAGAATATTTGTGGAATGAATGGATGAGTGATAGGCTCACAGCCTGTGGGAACAAACAGGCCAACAGTCAAGCACAGCAATGTGCTCAGTGCTATAATGGAAGTAGACAGTCATGGTGAGAAGCACTTAGCTCTGCATTGAGATGTCAAGGAAGGCCCAGAGAAGTGATACTTGAGCAGACTCTGGATAAGAGTACACATTTACCAAGGAAAGAGGAG